AGGGCATAATTATTAATTAACAGGCATTATAGGCCAGAGCAAAATTTGCGCCCCTTCACACCTGCGCCCGGGGGCGACTGCCCCCCCTCTTGCTACGCCACTGACTCTTGGGCCAGTAGACTAGCCAGTAAAAATATAATTTTTGCCATTTATAGCATATTTCGTGCTACAGTAATTTTCTCTATTTGGTTTGTTTGTTTGAAGTTAAGCATAAAGTTTTTACACAACTGACTGACTTTTCACTACCCACCACGGGTATTGAAACCCGGTTTCTAGCTTTGAAGTCCGCAGACATACAGCTGTGTCACTGGGTGCCTGTAATGGGAGGGAGTACATGTGATGCCCTTGGTAATTCACTCAGTCTCATGAATAATTTAGGTGAGAGAAACTTAATAGTTCCATTGACTAATATTCCATATTAAGAACAAAACCTAAAGTATGCTGTAATTTTGAGATATTTAGCTAGTATCTAAGGAGGTAGGAAACTGGTGGTATCTTGATATATTACAATGCTCTTTTTAAACTTCACTGAAGTCATTTTGTACTTCTCTTTTTCCATCACTGTACTTCTTCATTTTTGATATTGTAGCCTTTCTGTACATTTCCTATGGCCTCCTCGATTTTGTCTTTGATGAAATTGATTTTTATTTTTGGTTATTTTATAAATTTAATGTCTCATTCCAGCAATTTCTAATCTTCTTTTAATTGTCTGCCTCTTTTTTTCTTTCTAGTGTTTCATAATTTTAAGCACATTTTTAGATCTCACTTTGAGCATGTGCAATGAATTTATTTCCATGAAAATAAATCTACTCCTGACACTACTGTTGTAATGGTTTCTTTTGATGCACAGGTTCTTTTTTATTATTCAATAAAATAGTGCAAAGTCCAATATATTTAATGTAAAGTTAATATTTATCATACTGTGTGTGGAGTTATGCTTCCCTCCCACTCAGAGGTTTTGGCCCTCGGCTCAAAAAATACTTATCTGTGCCTATTTATAACCGCTAAATACTAAATATGTTTTTCTGAAGAAATAGTAACAAGTGATATATTTTTCAGTCTTGTTTTTTGTTGTCAGGACCATTTTCTTTCAGGCGATTTCTCGTTTTCTATTTGGCCCTTTCATTACTAATTTATTTAAAAAGGTTTTAACTTAATGACAATGAAAACGTCTTATTTCTTGAACTTTAAGTTCTATAACTTGCACCAGTTTCAAGAACTAACAATAGGCCTAACTTCGCTAATAACACTAACTTGTCACCAACTACCTTCTTCCATAATTCTAATAATTCGTTGAAATACTAATTCATCATTTACAACAATAACCGAATGATAACGTTAACCGATGAAATAAACATTCAGCAGTTACAGTAATGTTTATTGATATAAGGTAGCAAACATATTACCTAAAAGTTTGAAAGCTGGATTTTTACATTTATTCAAAAACAATTATAACAAGAATTAGAAAAATAATTTAAAGTTGACTATCTACTATTTTTTCGGAGCAATTCGTTAATAAAATTTTCATATTCACACTGTTTATGAAACTCGCCTGATCTGTGCTGTACACCAAGTCGCAAAATTCGAAGCGTTTCTCGCATTTCAGTACTTGTTGGAGGTTTATCAGTTTTATGGGCTTCAGCTTCTTCATTTATCAATTCTGGGTCTGTCCGAATAACAGGCTGACAGCACATTAGTAAACCAAGTTTTAATGCTGATTCGATCTGGTCATTTATTCCACTGTGCTTTCTCTTACAGTTTAGGTTTTCATTCTATTTTGCTCCCCTCTCAATGTCGGCCCGATTTTTCTAAATTTTACACAAAAGAGGTTGGGAAATTTGTAATTGCACTGCTGCATTACGTTGCCCCATTTTGGTAACTTATCATAGCGTTCTAAAATGGCAACTTTTTCTTTAAGGGTTAGTCTTTACGTTTTTTATGCAATTTTTTCATTATTAAAGAGGGTTAACAAAAATTGAAATTTGTGGGAACGAAAACAACTGTACTATAATGGAAAGGAAACACAAGAGCGTAGGGGATCTTAATAATAACTTAGCCACGCATTATTTTATGATGAACCTTTCTCAGGTCGCTTGACCTTGACATGGTTAAGCTGAATAGAAGTGATAACAAAAAAAACAAAAAAAACGAAGCGTTAATTACAAGAAACGACGTTTTTCTTATCTATTTTTATACATTTGGTCAGGACTTAGTAATTCTAATAATAGTATATGAATGATAACTCCGTAATCACAATAGGCGGCATCCATTGTACCTTTCTTCAAGTTCAAGAAAGTTTCAGACATTCGACTACCCGTTTATATCATGACATTGAAACTTTCTATAGCCAGCATTAATATAAACGTCTAAATTAAAAACAACAATATTTGTTTGCTTGAAGTTACGCACAAAGTTACACAATGGGGTATCTGAGGTACACTCACCACAAGTATCTAAACCAGAGTTTTAGCGATATAAGTTTGCTGAGCCACTGAGTGGCTAACAGCAAGAACACAATCTTCACCAAGAACTAGCATCGATAAAACTGTGGTGTAGATAGAACACCACGTACTCGTAAGTCAACATTAATATTGAGACAAGAAATGGAATTTTTAATTAAATAAAAGTTTAAAAAATAATTCCACGATAATTTTATTAATCTCTATCGTTTTTTGTTTTTAATTTTTGTTTGTTTGATTTCATATTTACTTACGTGCGTGATTTCAGCGTAAATATTTATCCAGTTAGAGCTTCTTTTACGAAAAACAATCTTGATTTCGAATGCACCTGACCTATTTCGTCACGACCTAGCGAGGGGTAGAGTTAGGGAGTTTTCGATGACTCTTTAGGTTTTTACCCCATTGTAAATTTATAACACTGGTGAGTTATTTTTCAGCAATAATTTGAACATATATTTTCTACTTTTTTTATTGTCTCTGTGTCTTAATTTCTTCTTAAATTATTAGTGTTTACTTCAAGTTCAATTTCTTGTATTTTGTAAATGTTATGAGACTTGATTAGGCTTAACTGTATATTTATGAAAGTTGTGCGATAACTTATAAGTATAAATGCAAATCATATAGACATAATAAAAAACATGAAAAAATAAAGTATGATGGAGGGATGGCAATGCTACAAAGTGAAGAAACAAATTAGATATGAATACACAAAACCATACAAAAATCCCTACATAAGTAACTGAGTAAGTTAGTACCGAGTCAATCTAAAGTGATACATGATTTATTTGAGAAGTCACAAGCTTATGCAAGTTCTGGTTATTACTACTAGTACTATTACTATTAGCTACTGTAAGACTGTATAGCACTATTCATTTTAACTACTTTTTTCAAACCTGAATTCATGCAACCGACAGGAATTCAACACTGACTTAGTTGTAGATAAAAGTTATTCTCGGAAAGAGTTGGCTACCTATGTACTCATAATGTAGTGATTCTTGTATGGTTTTATGTATTCAACCCTACCTTGTTTCTGTAATTTATGGCACTTCCATCCCTACATGAGTACATCATACTTAATTTTTGCTAAATTTTCTTTATTACTTAGATGTGATTTGTGAAGGTCAAAGCAAGAAAACCTTGAGACTTGAGGTGGTGATGGTTTGTTGATTCTACACAAGTACAAACTGACACATTTACACTTGTGTGTCTGCATTGTTTGTTGTGCTTTATACTTATAGGGTTACACTTGTTTATGTGGTGAAAGAAAAAAATCCTGGTAACATATAACATAAGTCATAACACCAAATTTATGAGTAAACTATTTTAATTGAATGCATGACTTTGCCTTATGGGTTACATGTATGTGAATTGTTTATTATATTTTCTATTAAAGTAACTTGTATTCACTTTGGTATTTGAAGGATAAGTAATATTTTTTTAATCATTATTTCATACTCATCAGTGGTAAACTGGTTAACACCTGTCGTATGATTCAGCCCAGCATCTTTTAGTACTGAGCCTAGGATGTTTAACAGGGGAATCTTTTCTGAAACCATGGTTTAGGGTTATTTTGATAGATCTCGATGAATGAAGCTCGGCACAACTTCTAAAATGAAAAATAAAATAAATATTAATGAAAGTGTGACATGATGAAATGTATATGGATTATACTATGGTGGTATCATACTGGACATTATACCATCATTTTTGTATTTACTCTTCATTGCAGAAATGGGATTTTTAATTTCAGAATTGCTTGGAAAATCAATACTGCATCTTTGGGCCTTATTGTGCCATTAGTCTCACAAAATAGTGAAACTAATGATTTATTATATATGATTCCAATCCCCATTTTGAAGATAACAGTACTGTTGTGCCTTTTGTTTTATGTTTCGCTGTCAATGCAGTAATCAATTAGCAAATCTCTGATTCATATGGTATGTCAAATCAAATTGGATACCTTCAAATAAGTTCTTCCCTTTTCTGACCTGGACCCATGGTTTAGCTTAATCACTACACTTAAACCATCACATTCACAACCACATCTAGAATATTTCAAGCATGTTACATTGTTTTACTTTACATTTACATGTTAACTTCTCCATGTTGGCTCTAATGGTCTTGGGTTAGGTCATCGGTCTGATCCAATGACCCACACCAAAAAATAATGCCAAACATCTTTTTCTTGTCTAATTAAAACAACCCAAACCTTTCCAGAATGACTTATTTTTTTGGATCCACATCATGATGCTGAGCTGGCTTGTGTGGCAGGTGTTAAAATAATGTAAATTTTTTCTTATCACCAAAATTGTGAGTTTTGGTGAAAAAAAGCAAAGTGAGGTCTAGGCTTTTATAGTTTTGCTATTTAGGTATGTCACTGAGTGTGGTTTCAAGAAATTCCACCCCTCATCAGTGTTCATTATATATCACCAGTGTCACTATTTATGGTTGTATATTTTGATTTGTTGATTTTTAATTTATATTTGTTTTACAAAAGGAAACCAAGCTATGTTAACCAATTTGCATTGTGGAAGTTGCTGTCATTATTTTATAATTTTTATTGCTGACACTTGAAGTTGTGAAAACATCTCAGAGATATCAAAATAGGCAGCCTGACATGCAATACATAAATGAGGGAAGACATACAAGTTCAGTCGTTAATTGTCTTCAGATTAAGAGAGTAGAGCTCATTTTAATGTGCCAGCAAAGCATATAGAAAATGTAATTGGTAAAAATTTTTGCTCAGTTAACTAAGGAGCTTACACAGGAGTATGTTATATCAAAACTACTTTGGAGCCTCACTATGTGCTTAAAATCCATTTTGTCATTTTTGATCATGCAGCACTTGTACCTGATGAACCTGCATCTTGACAATAGCCATGCAGTATAACTCCTATTGCAAAAGTCAGTCTTCTGTAATGCTGTCATGTCCAAAGAATATCACTCCTCCCCATTGCTTTTTGTAATCAATGTAGAGTACAAGAATTATGGATTCCTAACACCCTTTTTATGATCAAAACAGAAATTCCTAGGTGCTACATCTGGTGACCTGAATGGTATGTCTTGATATTAAATAGCACGATTACCCATTTAATACTCCAGCTACTTTAGGTATGTGACAGTTGAATGAGAGGTATGACTGGAAGCTTTACCTGAGTGAACCCATACTCTGTCGGTCTCATTTTTAGAAGGAATTACTTCTTGATTATTTTGTGTTCTGTTGCCTGGAAGGTATATGATGGCTGTACATGTTCAGGGGACAGGACTTTCTCTTCTGTTTGTTGCTTTGGCCATCAAGGCAGTAGTTTTCAATGTTCGTTTGTGGCTGATCAGACAGACTATTAAAGCCTGTCACTAGAAACAAGGTGTCTTCTTTGTCAACTTGTGGCATGGAGGTCAGGCTTTTCACACCGATCAAAAGTCAGGAACAAGATGACCAGTATTTAAGAACCATGGCTATAGATAACAAGCCAGTATTGTAAATTTAAAGTCAACTTAGCATGTGATAAGCCATAAGTTTAACAAGCAACTTAACTCTTTCAACAAAGGCTCGGTCCCTGGGACCGACCTTGTAACCATTTTGTGCTTGTTGTAGTTTGCATGCTATAACTTTTAAATTGGCAAGTTTATATTAACAATATTTGACAGATTATAAGTAAACATTACAATGCTTTCACATGCAAAATATGAAATTTTTTTTATTAAGTC